TTGAGGATGCTAGTTCAAAAAGCTCAACTTTTATCAGAATATTTTTTTGTCAATTTTAAGATAGAATGGGGGAGGGTTAGGACCTCTTTCAGGTTTCATTGCTGTTTGTGACTCCTCTAGGCAGATTTCATCTCACTAAGTTACTCAGTGACATCCCTGTTTTACCAGTATGAGAATTAAAAATGGGTGTCTTTAGAATAAGATGAAGCAGACAGGAATAAAACTCTGATTGAGATTTTAAGATTTCCCAGCTGTACTAAGTTGTGTTTTTATTCTGTCCCCACTGGAGAGATTTCCCATCACTTCCTGGTGCTCTGATTTCCTTTCACTGGGATAAAAAGTGGGAGGTAAGCTCCTTGAACAGGAAAGAGACTGAAATAAAAACTCAGAAGAGTTCTAAGGTCTCCATAACGGTCTATGGTCAGAAGGTCTATGGTCCAGGTCTAAGTTCTATGGTCAGAAGGGTTCTAAGGTCTCGGAAGAGTTCTAAAGTCAGAAGGTATAAGGTTCAGATCTAAGATCAAAGGTCAGAAGGGTTCTATGGTCTCAGAAGGGTTCTAAGGTCAGAAGGTCTAAGGTTCAGGTCTACATTCCAAGGTCAGAAGGGTTCTAAGATCTCAGAAGAGTTCTAAGGTCAGAAGGTCTATGGTTCTGGTCTAAGTTCTAAGGTCACAAGGATTCTAAAGTCTCAGAAAGGTTCCCTTCCCCTTAGACAGCTGTCAAGTTCTAGTGGCAACTCAAAATTTAGGATTTTCTCCCTCTTATATTCCCAGTGACAGTTGTCAGCAGCGCAACTTGATTAGGTGAAACACCTAATGAGGACGCAGGGATCAATGAAAAAATGACAGGTTTTCTAATCCCTCAGCACTACCTAAATTTATTTTGAAAAAAGTTTTGCCTTTAGATATTCTTTAAAGAGGTGTTGAAGTCTAAGTTGGAATTATTTTAGGGGCTAATTAGCCTACTTTTGACATAAAATCTCTTCTCTAATTCAAAGTGATAGTAAACCCTCAGTTTTTTAAGCACTTGCAACAGCTGATTTTATCAATTCATGAGTATGCAGCTTCTTTATATTGTCATACTTGCCTATGTGACAGTTTAAGCTGGTGCCATGATTGCTCCCTCAAGTTTCCTTTTTCGGGGTGGCTTCTTTCTCTTGCTGCATCCTATGGAGCCACCTTTGCATGCAGGGACCAGAGCTGTGTCACCATACACCGTGTGTGTTCAATGGAAATACACAGCAACATAGCCTAGGATGGCAAGGCACTTCCCTCATCCATCCTTCTCCAAGTTAACAGACAGGCTCCAGGCAGCACTGTCTACTGTTAACTATTTACCGTGAAGACCGGAAGTTCAGCGAAGCTGCACTGAAAATGAAGGAGCCAGCAGCATTGAAAGTTGAAAAGTGCTGGGGTAAGAATTTTAACAAAATGTTTACTGGGGAATGCATATTTTATTGTGCTCAGTGTGTTAAGCTAAACACCCAGGGCTTAATACTATTTACAGATTAGAGTCCTAACCCAACAATGTTTTGAAGGGGAAGAAAGTGACACATGGTTTGATGCTTGTGTATTCCAGGCATGTGTACATCTCTTTCAGGCATTCTTTCCATGCTAACTGACATTAACATATGAAAAGGGTGATCCATGCATATGAACACTTCATTTATTCTCAATTTTAAAGAGCTCAGCAGTTCTTGTATAGAAATGGACCCAGCCCATAGGTTTGTAGCACATTCCCGAGAATCTATTTGTTTTCTAGTTTAATTAAATAGAGAAAATCCAGCTTTTCTCATTTCTATTAAGTACTTTTTGTCCTATACTTTGCCTGGAATATCATTTTCCGTAAAAACCTAAGCACCCGATATGATAGAGATATACAGGTCACTGTTGCTGGCTTATCTTGGAAATGCTACTTGACTGACTATGTCTGGCTTCAGTACTAAAGCTGGCTATAGCCGGAAGCAGTGACCACTGTATTCTGATGATGGCAAAAACTCATGCTATCAGAATACAATAGCACAGCGGGAAGGATTCTCCCATCAACACCGCCATGGTTGAAGGAAAGAAAATTGCACGGTATTTGGTCTGCCTTAGTCACTGACCCAAAAGAAGCATGCTAAAAAAAATGTCAGAATTCCTTATTATACTTGATTATGGTCAGAGACTCTGGAATCATTGAAGAAGAAGTCAGGAAGCATCGAAGTATAAACACTGCAGCCAAGCAATTAACATTTTCAGGTCAGCAATGATGGCCTACATATTTCTCTCATGGCAGATTTCCTTTAATTGTACAAATTATCATTTTCTGACTTCAAAGTACTCATCTATAGATAAAGAAGAATGGGTATTGACCTCAATGTCCAATCATATTCCAATTTTTATTTTTCAAGAACTTATTCTTTTCCATACCTTACCAGGTTCCGAATATTTTATTGAAGAATAATATTTGAAATGTAAAATAAGCTGTACATTTCAGTTGAAAACAAGAAGTCATGGAATAATGCAGACAGCATTGCACAAGACAGGTTATGATGTACCTGTACAAAACTGGTTATTATATGGTTTTGGGAACTGTGATCTCTACACATGTATTTTCACTTTAAAAGACAGTAGAGGATAGATATCCTCTATAGTGTAGAATATCTACCACACCGAAAGAGAGAGGAATTTTATGGACCAACAAAGTTACTTGTCTTCCTGGAGCTGGGATATGGAAATGTTGAGAAATGATCAGCACTTTTTCTAGTCTTGATATTTATTTATTTATTTATTTCAGCTACTTATATAGCGCTGTCAATTTTACACAGTGCTTTACATCTATATATATTGTATATTCACATCAGTCCCTAACCCTCAAGGGGCGTACAATCTAAGGTCCCTAACGTACATAGACATACTAGGGCCAATTTAGACAGGATCCAATTAACCAATATCTGTGTCTTTATACAGTATTTGCTGTACATTCAATCATTTCAAGTCATAAGAGTTCAGTTACTAAAGGCAAATATGCTGTTTACATTGCAAGGCAATTTTCCCCAGAGATTAGTGAATGTGGTGAAATACCACTTTGCAAAGAATACCCAATGAAGGAAAATACGAAAACAACACTTTTGCGTGATGGAAGTTAGCAGAGATTCACCGCATTCCCCTGCAACATGAGCAGCCTATTTGCCTTTAGTAAATCAACCCCATACTTTGTTTCGGAAATGTTTCATCACTTGCTCATTTCAGTATTTTTATCCAGATAATCTGAATTGTCATACAGTGATATCATTGTAGTTGTGTTATAATTTGTGTAAAGTAATATATCTTTTAATTTTCCATAGAAATATGACTTTTCCATATATATGGGCTGAGCTGATGACATCTCAACAAAGACATTTTAGATGAGAGAAGATTTTTGTAGATGTCCAATTGTACGCATAAAAGATTGGAATATATAGTCTAAAAAGAAAAAAAATAATATCAGAGCGGGTATGAATATGGGGTGTCCGATGACAGCTGCCTGTGTATAGACTAAAGATAATTACACTCCAAGGCCTCATGCACACCGGAATTTTTAACATATGGAGGCTGCCATTGTTGGCCTTCTCCTTAAAATGATAGTGCCTTGGCTATGTCTGGATGCTAAGATGTATGTATCATAGATTGCCATAATAAAGTTAGTGTCTGTCCCAAGTCAGCATTGCAGCGCAGGGTTTTTTAAAAGTCAACGGCAGTGCATGAAAACACATATAACGTGTTTTGATGCGTTTACAAAAGTTACTAACATACCTGTGCCAATGGCTGTTAACACTATCCAGATTCTAAATCCAAATATTAAATAAAAGAGCATTTCATTTGTTCTTGTACTTCCTTTCTGGTATTTTTTTTATTTTTTACGAGAAGTTTTATTTCCGGTCAAATCTAAAATTTGGGGAATTAAGGTAGCATTGAGTCTCAGCATCAGTGTTTTTCAGAATTAATTTACATGCTGTACTATGTGATGTACATAGTCTTATTCTCTTTCTCTGTTTTAAGAAATGAAAAGATGAATGTTTTGGAATGTGCACTCTTAATGACTGGATAATGAATTCAACTATAAAAGTGCATGCCAGTACACATCAAAATTCATCTTAGTGGAAACACATTGATGCATGACAACACACCTAACTAATGTTACAAAAAAAACATACCTCTCCGCTCACGCATAGAACTAAATGGGCCCTAATACTTTTAGCCATTGAGCCAAAATCAGTGTGCAGATCAGGTATATCATAGTGAGGTCAGAACAATCTTTTGCAGAATCAGTAATTTAGAGAATACTGAGGTCACTAGATGAGCAACCAGGGAACTAGCATTTCCAGATCAGCAAGTCAACAATTTGCACATAAGAGGTTGCCTTAAGGCTCATTCACACCTCTATGTGCATTGTGCAATCATTGTGATGTATTGCCATTCTGAATGGCACCCCAGTGTACACATATACAAAATAAAGAAATGGTTCTGTCCTTCAGCATGCCACAACAAAAAGGTGTGAATACCTTGCCCAAAAATAATGCAGGTAATTTTTCATGCATTAAAGTTCATATAAACATAATGAGTGTCAATGCATTGCAAAACATACTGTAAACAAGTCCTTAAGGTATTTAATTATTATTCAGCAAACTGTAGGAGCGTGATTTTTTTTATTTCTTTCTCTTTGCATGTAACATTGTTATACTTTATTCTTCTTATGTTTTTATGTATTTTGTATTATTAGTACACATGTAATTTTATTTGCCAGAGGTTAAATATATAATGAAGTGCATGATGGAAATAGTGGCAGCAGCCTATATGTATGCACTCGGATAAAGATTCATATTACCTAGCAATACAGAACATGGCCTGTAGATGGCATGAGGTCACTTCATTACATTCTAACGTTTACAATGGATACGTTTTAGGTGGTGAAATTGTGAATTAATTGGAGGAAATGTGAATTAGAAACCTTTGTATTACTGTCAGGGGCGGACTGACCATTTGGTCAGTAGGGGGCCCTATGAGATGCCCCTGGTACCTTTTTCATAGGCTTTTTTGAGTTTGGGCAAGGACACAGGTGCCCCATGATCCCCTATTGCCCGGGGGCCCCATGAGTTGTCAGTCCGCCCCTGATTACTGTTATGTCTCATTCTGTAGCAGTATAAAAAGCTTTCTACTAATGTCATTACTCAATATATGGTGTTTATTTTTTCAAGTCTAAAGATCCAAGTGGTGAGCGAACAGGGAATGATGTGACATGATATGCCAAACGACACATGATCCTTGATGGGGATTGATGGGCTTTGTGCTGAAAACTCAACCTGCCTTCACAGAATGTTTATAGGACAAATATGCAGAAAGTTTGGAGTTTAAGTGATACTCTTCACTGAATAACTTTACAGAGAAGTGCAGGATTTAAAACAAACAAGCAATAATACTCACCTAGGTGGATGCAGCAACAGTTGGATTATGCATTTGTCCCCTGCCGTGATCAAAGGTAGCTGAACACTCAGTTCTCTGTCTTCAGTGAGCAGTGAGCTGGTGATTGTCAGTCAAAGGCTCTCTGCTTTGCCCCTCCAGCACTCCCTGGACCACCAGACGGTGGAGGGGGCAGGAGTAGCTGGCTTAGCCTCTCAGCAGCTCACTGAGAGGCTGAGCCAGATGCCAGTCAGGTTTTGAGATGGATCCTGACATTAAAGTCAGGACCCCTCCAGAGTCTGCACTGGCTGAGTGACATCAACCATCAGAGGATTTTAGCCAGCTGTTTTCTTAACATGGGTCATAGGTGTGCAGAACGAAGTGCATTCCTGTGATCCATAGAAGTATGGCCAAAAGAGCTTTGACCACACTTGTTCATTAAAGTGGAAGTAAAGTCAAAATGTAAAAAGTTGCTGACATACAGGGTATTTATGACAGAAGAAACCCTCTTCGTCTCTTCTGCCATAAATGCATCCTCCTGCCTGTCAACTCTCATGTACACTGAGCCATACATGCGTGGCTCAGCAAACTTTTATGGTCCCGATACGTGCCGCGGTGATGTGACTCCCATGCGCATGTGCAGGAATGACATCATCGCGGCCTGGCCTATTGCAAGGCACAGGACCCGGAAGGAAGACCGGGCAAAGATGGAAGCGCCGGGAGCTCTCCACATCGATTGCACCGCGGTGCTAGAGGGCATCTTTTGACAGGTAAGTCGGTCTGATGCTGCATCCAGGGGCGAACTGACCATTTGGAAACTCGGGCACTGCCCGAGGGCCCAGGGTCAGTAGGGGGCTCCATGAGATGCCCCTGGTACCTTTTTCATAGGCTTTTTTGAGTTTGGGCAAGTACACAGGGGCCCCATGATCCCCAATTGCCCGGGGGCCCCATGAGTTGTCAGTCCGCCCCGGCTGCATCTATGCTCCACCGGCTCTAAGTGTGAGAACTCAGTGATCAGATGACCGCTGATCACCGAGTTCTCACCACCGCTGTGAGCAAAGAGCGGTGACTGTCAGCCACCGCTCTCTGCTGTGCCCTCTTCAGGTGCCGCTTCAGACTCTGGGGTGGATTCCGACTGTAAAGTCTTGATCTTTCCCCAGCTTGGACCAGCTGAGTGATGTCAACCGACTATAGGCTTCAGCCCTCTGTCAGCTGAAAACGGGTCACAGGAGTGCACAACAAACTGTACTCCTGTGATCCACTGGAGAAGTACAGCCAAAAGAACTCCTTTAAACTAGCAAATGCGTTATTGTGAATATGTTACCCCAGCTTTAGAAGCTATCTGAAATGCATGATAGAGAAGACACCACTGCTTCATTCATTGGCTGTATTAGCAGTCCCAGCACAGCATATGTATTCTTCATGCCTTTTTATCTAACTTTTTTTTTGGTATGTTCCACCAAACACAGGGACTGTCAGTTCTCTTCCTTTACACCGCAAGACAAGTGCTCTTTGTTGATTCTGTTATCCTCCCTCTGGCACAACTACTAGTAATGGAAAACATCCTAAAACACATGATGAGCAGATGGTTAGCATACAATCACATTGAATGATTAAGTAGTCAGAGAGGAGGTGAAAAGCTTTGTTGAAATAAATGTATTTAATTACGGTGCACTGGCTGTGATAGATGGCACTCGCCAGTCACAGGAACTGAATGGCCTGCCCACCCTTTCAAAGCTTTTTATAATGTGCTGGAATCTTGACCTGCCAGGCCTGGCACATTCAGCTATATGTAAATGAACATTTGCAGAGGACAGGATTTCTTTCATTATATAATGTCTCATGGTTCTGCCTTATGTAAATTGCTTCATAGCTCAACTTGTCATTGTGAATGCAACACACATCTAACACACACCTAGGGATTGAATTTAAACCAATTGATAAAATTTCATAAAAACTTCATGTCATTTCAAAAGGTTCTTCAGTATTTTTAAATTTGCAGATTTCATTAGAATACCTGGTGATCCTGTCATGAAGATTCCTTTTCAGGCACTTTTTCTTGGGGGGTTGCAGCTGTCTCTTGTGTTCTTGGGTTGTCACATGCAAGGCTTGTGGACATGCAGGCATGGTCTACTGATGTCACAATTAGGAAGCCAGTCCAGAGCAATAATATGCTGCTGATGCTGGGGTAGGAAAGGAGAAAGCAGAAAAGAAAGCAAAAAAGATTAAAAAAAAGTGAAAATATTAAAAAAGTGCAATTGTTTATGCTCATGTTTTGGTAACCTAATTGACACCTAGTTAGGATTTAGAACTGTTTAAAAAACTGGAAAAATTGAAAAAATAATCACAAAAATTAAAATATTGCCACTAGCAACCAATCATGTTTCATAATTTAATTTATGGACAGTCAGAGATTGCTGGGATCACACAACTGGCTCCAGCATCCCTCATAATATTACAAATAAAACACTTTAAAGGTGCCCTCTCATGTTTTAAGGCATCAACTCAATTTAGCAGAAAATTCTTTATACTTTTATTTACATTAACCTAAAAAATGGTCATTGAATCTTTAAATTGCATATATATGTGTAGGCCACCAAGGCCAGTGCAATATTACAAAGCGATGAATACTACCACAGATATAAAAAAATGCTTTACAGTCTGCCCTCAACCCCATACCCTCCAGCATTATTTATCTCTATATATCCTTTATACAAAACGTATATTCGCTTCTCTTGCATGCTGTTGACGCTGGGGGGCCCTGGCAGCAGATGCACAACATGTTTCATGGGTTCAGAATTTTTTCAGATTCTGTGAAACAATGAGGAGATTCCAATGATATTTAATAAACATAATAAGATATCAGATGCTCCACCCTGAGAAAACAGATTGAGTGGGAAGGATCCCCAGTAAAATAAGCCGATTCCTCTCCAGTACTTGGCCTCAAATTGAAGGGCCTCCTAATTCACAATCATGGCCAAATTTTCAGTATGGATCAAGAAGCTACCAAAATGTGTTCTGCAGCTGTTCCTCTGCGGTTTGGAGAGAGAAGAGGGGCATGTTGGGGGTGGTAAAAACGCGGCCCATCCAACTGTTTTTACTGCTCCCAACAACAGGTGTAAAATAGGCCTAAAACTGATGAAAGTTATTTGGTTTCAACAGTACTGGTTGCTATCAATTACTGTAGTTTTCCATGGTCATTACTTTTTGTGCTGCCTTATTAAGTAAGCGTGTTTGTATGAATGAGCTTCATTATTTATAGCAGAAATAAACCTCTTTTCTACTTTATAGGCCTGAGTTGTTTAGAAATGGTATATCTTGGGACAGAGGAGCTAAAACCTTATTGATTTCTTGTTTCATAAGGTTGAAAGTTCATTCACACTGATTGCATCATTGATTTTTTTTTCCACCAATTTGATTCAAACAAGACATTCCTAGGATTAAACTCTTCTTGTTGATGTCAGCCCTCCCACAGTGTATTCATTTGGATCAGCGGCTTTTATAAAAATGTGCACTTTGTTTAATAGCACAGAAATAAATGCAGTGGTCATCATTGTCCATAAGAGCTGGTGAGAAATACAATGGGGTAGATTTACTAAAACTGGAGAGTGCGGAATCTGGTGCAGCTGTGCTAGCCAATCATCTTATAACTTTAATTAAACTTCAACAATAAAACCTGAAAGTTGATTGGTTTCTATGCAGAGTTGCACCTAATTTTGCACGCACCTGATTTAGTAAATAACCCCCAATTTTATTAGTAAGAAAGCTTGCAATCACAGTATAACAGTGCAAACCTTTGAAACATCAATTGTTATCACAGATAATGAATATACTGTATTTTCTAGTGCCTGGTGTTTTCTTGTCTCATAGGTGCATATGTAAAAGAAATACCCACCTCCTGCTTTATTCCCTGCTGTACACAGGAATTGTAACAGTAGGTGCAAACCTTCTCCTTATTGCATGATAAGACAATGTTATATGATGGCGCAGAGACCCCACATCATTCATGACATGCCTAATGATGGTTCCCAGCTTTGTCCTGAAACCATGTCCTTCTATGTGATCATGCAATTAATAAAAGCTTTGCACTCATAGTTTTCTTCCTTTTTCAGAATTTTCTTCATACAATATGTAGAACTGTAAGTCCTCTTATCAAACGTTTTGGGTCCTTAAGAAGCGGGAGTATCCACAAAATGCGTAGACCTACATCATAGTGAAGAAATGTCACCAGCAAACCAAGTATTCCTCAAAATGGGTCCAAAGCTTTATTTTGTGGTCATATGATAAACACATAGACAACGTTTCGGAGTCACACAGGACCTCTTCGTCAGGCCCTAACGAAGGAACCCTGCGTGGCTCTGTAAAGTTGCCTTTGTGTTTATCATGTGACCACAAAATAAAGCTTTGGACCCATTTTGAGGAATACTTGTTTTGCTGGTGACATTTCTTCACTATGATGTAGGTCTACGCATTTCGTGGATACTCCCGCTTCTTAAGGACCCAAAACGTTTGATAAGAGGACTTACAGTTGTACATATTGTATGAAGAAAATTCTGAAAAAGGAAGAAAACTATGAATCAGCCAAATCCATTGCAGGTAAATACAAATATATACACAAATACCTAGTATGTGTGATATAAGATTACCAGTGTAGCCATCTAGGAAATCACACTACCTATAGATTTTACATCCAT